CACCTATCATGTATTACTTATTTAATGCAGCACAACAAGGTCTACACCAGCACTTCACTCTGTGTTAGCCTTGCAAAATGGATCTGTATAAATGTCCTAAGTGAGGTTAAAAAATAAAAAATCCCATCTCTTCACATAATTAAGACACCTAATTCAAGAAAACTCTCTGATCAAATCACAGAGAAATACAGAAAAGCAGAGCAGATTACTAGAGCTCTGGCCAGCAAACACTTTAGTTTACTGCAGATCAGTATCTGACCCTGCCATCTCCAAGTACTTCCCTGCAGGCTGCTGCACCACACAATGTCCTACCAATACTGTAAACAACTGAAGTGTTCCTTCTATTTGGATAAAGCACATTCCAAAAAGTCATGAAGGCTTCTGCTTTCCGGACACGCTGTAGCCAGCAGAAGTGGCATGCAGGAGCAGGGAGAAGGAACATATTTGGCATTCCAGCCTCCAGAGCTCTCTGCTGGGAACTGAACAGGGCCTTCAAACAGGAGTTCACCCTTTCTACCACTCCCCCTGTCCACCCACTGCTGCAAGAGAGAAAGAGGATCACCCGGCACAAATAGCTCGGGCCTGGGGTAGGGATTAGGAAAAGTAAAACTTGAGAACACAGAAATCAGTCTTTGAGAGAATAAAGGGGACAGGAGTGGAGGAAGTGAGCAGTGGAGTCAGTGTAATTTGTTCAGCATCACCATGAAAAGCATCTTAAGAGTCATTACCAACAAATTCCTTTTCAGTAAATTGTAAAAAAAAAAAAAAAAAGGATTTTTGTAGCATGAGCATGAAATATATTGCGTGACTACAGCTTGGCAAGCTACAGAGGAAAAAAAGACAGGAGTGATGACTTCACGAGTTCTAAATTAATATTAACCAGCAGATATCCCTTGTGACAATAAAGAAAAACAGAAGGGTTCTGCCCAGCATAACAAGCACAGATAAAAGAACAACATACTTTCAAAGCCACAAATCAGTAACCTCAAAATCTACAATTCACTCCACATGTTACTGGGAGTTTCAGCTCCTGACCCGACAGCAATCTGCCACTGTAATTTCTTTCAGATTGTAAGCGTGGCTTATCCAATTCTATTTTATGATATCAGTGGAACAGAAGAAAAATGTCCTCCATATGGGGTGGTTTTGCTGACCTTTTAAATTTCAGAGCAATAAACCACTTTTAAAATGTAAGATTAAATCACCTTTTTACTTTTAGCACAAAGCAAAATATTAAATCACCACAACACTAATCTCCCTTAACCTTAAGTTATCTGGCTAAAAATCTCTTTCTCTTTCAAACACCTAAACTTTTCCTGTTTTGACTCATATGACATGATTTTAGTGGTTTTCAAATCACCACTCTTCCACAGGAAGTATGACTCTTCTTCAAGAGGGAAGATGAGGGGATTAAAGAAAGAAACCCATCACAACAATAAATACCCTGCCTTCCCATCCCTCAAAACAACCTCACTCACACACTCCTCTCTTGCCACCTCATACACAAAGAGTGAAAAGGCACAGGTTTGTTTTTCTTTCCCTCTTGGCAGAGACAAGACTGATGTCAAAATCTTACGGGTGGTTACTCACTGGCCAAAGCAGAGAAAAGAGCAGCTACACTTCTTTCAGGCATTAACAAGTGGTTCTTCCTTGGAGAAGGACCTCTATGGCCTCAGAACAGACTAAGGACTTTCCAACAAGGTAAAATCTATCTAGAGAGCCACAGAGCAGACACAGACGCAAAGCCAAGATTAAAGCTGTATTTTCAACCCAGAAGAGCAGAAGTGGCTGCTTCTAACTCAGAGAGGTGAGACATCTTTCATTTGATGCAAGTACTTTCTACTCATTGCCGAGAACCTTTCTTAATATTATCATGGATTATACTCCCTCCTCCTTTACACCCTTCCACTTGCAACTGTTCCATGAAATGGAGCACATGCACAGCAGCAGCAGCTCTTCTACTCAATTAAAAAGCATCTAGTCAACTAGCCTAATTGAAAATAATATACCCTTATTTCTTACCTCCACTGGATTAGGAGCAATCAATAAGTGTATCTGTAAATGCAGCTGCTCTTCTTTTGTTGACTACAGGAAGTGCATAGGCGTATCCATATCCCAATTTGACCAAGTATAGTGATAACAAAAATGTCTTACAAAAATAATTATGCTCTGAAACGTGCACTTGGGAAAAATTATTTTCTCGAGCTTTGTATTAGATTAATTTCTAAAGGCAATACAAAACAGCCCAGGTATATTTTACTTTTGTGTTTTCTAATCAACACCACAGCAACAAAGTCTTAAAAGAAACTCTTCCATTCTGCTTTAGTTTCTACTTTGGGAATCGGACAATGTTTTGCTCACTGGTCATTCACAGATTGTCTTTCTTAGGAGTAAATCCATCACAAAGACAAAGAAAAAACCTCGAACTATTAAATGGAAAAAAAAAAACAAAAAACCCAAATCAAACAAAAAACCAGCAAACAAACAAACAAAAAGAACCGACCCCACCCCAAACTCCAACAATCCTCAAAAATGCAAAAGTCAAAATGAACAGATGGACCAAATACATCAAATACAAATTCTAGCAGCAGCCTTCACTTACTTATTAGTAAGGAAAGACCATAGTAAACTCCTAAAGGCACCCAAAAATCACATCAATTGTATTTCTCAACACTGCAAAACAGAGAAAGGTTGCTTAGAAACATACTGGGTTTACATCTAATACATTATCTCCTACACAGAGTTTATTTCCAAATGTAGTTAAACAACACGTAACGTCATAAAATTAAAACGTGTGACCAATAGGTCGAGGGAGGTGGTTCTCCTCTACTCCACTAATAGCCTAGCCCAGACCTGGCAGTCACAATTACTATTTGCAAATTTCGATTATCTAGTTATCACTTTTCTCTAACAAAACACAATCCTCACACTCTAACAATCTAACTCGTAAGCCGTGTAAGATTTCAATTTCACTTGCTAAATAGTCACCTAATTTTAATAATTTTCTACTATGAATACATAGATGTGCACATATTTTTTTCCTGGAGTTATATTTTTCCCTACTGCTAAAAATCAATAAATCAAATTACTGCATCTATTTAAATTTCCTCTGCAACTAAATGGGACAGAACACAATGAAAATGGAGTTATTTTTCATTTATTTTAATTACCAATAATGCATCAGTAATCAAGATTATCTAGAAGAAAGTCCTTGGGAAGAAAGGTGAAATGAAAAAGAACATTGTTTGAGCACCTTGTGCTTTCCATTCTTCCTTGCTTTAACACACTGTAAAACACCACAATCACTCCCTTCCCTCTGTCAAGTTTCAAGACTATTTATATCCTATTCCTGACTTGGGAAGGTTCCCACATTGTGGGAGTGCTCCTGCCATACAGGTCTCTTTTTGCTGGGAAGCTGCTACCCTAAATGGATGATACTATAAACAGGGAAACAGCTGTGACAAACATCTTGGATAGAACAGTCAATTGTTCTGTCCTGGGAACGACAGCAGACAATTTTAGAAATGTTCATAGTTGACAAACTTCCCAGGGCAAACATTTCTGAAAACATTAAATAACACTTGCCTTCACTTTTTCACAACCTAAAGCCAAGGCCTGCTCATTTTAACAACCCCCTAAATACACCCAAGGAAAAGGAGACAGAAATCCTGCATGGCTTTGAACTGCACACTCTGCAGTGTCTCACCTGAGGTAAACCTGTTATTCTAAACAGTACCACACCACAGTTCTGTAAAAATAAAATCAGCTGGGTTCACACAACCACAATTCTTCCCAGGTCCTCTCCTTCTGTCTCCATTTAGAACCTGGATGGGTACCCATGACTTGTGAACATTTAAGACTCTTGAGTCTTCCTCAAGTTGTAAGGAAATGAATATAAGCTTGTAAATACACATCTATTTCACACGTTAGAAAAAGAAAAAAAGGAACCATTAAAGACCAGGCAAAACCCAGAAGTGTTTTGAGCATCTACAATTACCCAAAAGCATCAATTTGTCATCATAGAGAGCAAAACCAACACCCACCCAAATCATAGATAAGCATACAGAATTATTCAGCATCTTTTCATACCCAACAACCTATCAATCCGGATCTAAATCGAATTATCATAAGAAGATATATAACACAAACATCAACACATGACACAAAAGAAAAGTGAATATTTATAAACAAACTACTGTGGATTCACTTCAGTATTCCTAGCCGAGAAGAGCAATGCCTCAGGACTACAATAATGATAGTAAGATTCAGGAGGATGAGTATCCTGAAAAGGGCACCCTATTAATTTCAGTATTCCTCCTTCTTCATGCACCTCATCTCCAAGGCATTTAACAAAAGCAAGCTTATTTTCACAAAGCTTTATAACGTCTGGATTTTATTTGACAGATGGGAGAACAAAGGGACACTACAGCACTTGTGCAAACCCTCGCAGAATGCTAGTAAACGCTTTTCCCGCTGTTCTCCTCATTTACATCTGTCAATTAGGTGACTTTACATCTCCGCTATCAGACAGCATAGGTGGAGAATCAAGCTCCAGATTTAAACAGCTCTTGGAACATGTTAACCCCAAGGGCAGCTGGAAGAAGAGGAGAGTGCACGCGTGGGCAGAGGGGCTCTCAGTGTGGATGGGTCAGAAGGGCCCGCGGCGGGGGCAGCGATGCCCCGAGCCTGGGTCCCGCCGTGCGGCCGCAGAGACCCGGCTGCGGGGCGGGCACTGCCCGCACCTTCGGCTGCTGCCTCCCAGCTCTGCTGCTCGTCTTCCCGCCGCCCCTCGCTGTGTCCCCGGGCAGCCGGGTGAGGCACAGCGGAGCAGCCCTGCTCCCCTCCCGCGGCTCCGCCCGAGCCTCACGGCAGCAAAGCGTCCTCCCCCTCACCCTTCCCGCCGGGCACAGCACGGCGTTAGCCGGGGCGAGCAGGAGCTGCTCCCAACCCTTCACCGCCTGCCCAGGGGCTCCCAGGGGCACTCCCCTCCCCGGCCTTACCTGCCCGTCATGGCTGCGGGGCCGAGGGGCTGCGGGGCGGGACCCGGACTCCGGCTGGGCCGCGGCGGCCTCAGCGGGCAGCGCTAACCCCGCCCCGGCCCGGCCCGGGATCCTCGGGCGTGGGCGGGCGCCGCAGCCCGTGGTGACTCAGGGCAGCCCCCCCGGGCCCGCGCATGCTTTTCCTATAAAGGGAAAAAAATAGGGAATAAAGAGGCGGCGGAGCGGGTTGGGGGGTGGGAGTCGGGGCACGGCGCCTGCCCCTGCCCCGCTGCCGGAGCCGCTTCCCCCACCTGGCAGTAAACACATGGCAGCTACTACGAGCCTGGCCCGGAGAGAGGCGGCGCTGGCCGAACCGCTACCTGGGGTACAGTTATGTCTGACACAGCTCCCTGGCGTGACTTTGTTCCTGTGATCAAAGCAGCCGCGCTGCCAGCCCGCCGGACAGGCTGGAGCACTCGCTGCGCATCCCCGCAGGGGGAGCTTTACCCTCAGGGCAGCAGAAGGCACCTCTGGAAGGCTCCTAGAAAGTGGTGATGGCAGCTGTTGGTGCCGAAGGATGAGGGATCGCATTCCCTATGAGGGACACCTCCAAGTGCGTGGTTTTTCGTAACATCTAACCCCTTCTTGCCTATGTTCTGAGACATAATGTATCAATGCTAAGGTGATCCACCAAATGGGATGGGCAGCTCCTGCCCAAAAGCAATTTCAAGCGATGTTTTCATCTTATGAGGTAGCCTGATATGATGTGACTCACCATTGCTACACATATTGTTGCAGCTTGGGTCTGATGATGGCAACTCTGTGTTTCCTGGTGTCCAAACATCTCGTTTTTCAGCCCTGCAGTAAATATTTAGAATTGTACAGGTTAAATTAGCATTTGATGAGTTTATTACTTACTTAAATCAGCATGAAGAATTGAGTTAAAGGGATTTATTTTGGTTTAACTTTTGGCTGAGGAATGAGTAATAGATAATAAGTAACCAGCAACTCAACAGATTTGGCTGAGCAATCGACAAGCTTTTAGTCATTCTCTGCATCCCTATTCTCTCCCGTCATAAGGGTGTCTGAGTGCCATCATGTCGTGTATTAACCCCTGCAGTTCTCCTTTAGGGAGAAGCACAGATTACTTGGATTGGAAGTGCAAAGGAGACTCCAGATGTTTCCAAGGGTGCTGAGAGGAGCACAGCACATGGCAGCACTCAGGCTCAAGCAACCTCCCAGCCACCAGGCCATCAGCACAGCCACTCCTTCCTCTCGCCTCCTATGTCCAGTGGGGCTACTGTGAGCTGTATCCATCTCAAATACCATCTTTCTCTTACCAGCCTGGCAGAGATGGACTTGTCTCCCTGTCAGGGCTTGTCTGCAAAACACTCATCCCAGGGATGGGAACCCAGTGATGGGCACTGGGATGCCTGGGCAGCTCTCAGATGGGCATGGATAAAGGTCTGCCTGCAGTCCCTCCACTATGGGCTGCTCCAAAGAGGCATCATGAGATGCTTCACCCCAGATGGACCCTAACACCCCAAAGATACCCAAAGAAACCAGCTGGCACTAGAGAACGTTGGTACATTGTGTTTGCAGAGGAGTATAGACAGCAATTCCCGGTGCCGACCTCCCAGAGCTCCCACACAACCCCAGGTATGTTCCTGCCCACCCCAAATCCCTGCCCTTCCAGCCTGAGAACATCATCCATCATCGGCATTAAGGCCGAGGGAATCTTCCCTCACAGAAATTAAATCCCAAGCAATAGCCCTCAGAAATGCCTTAAAATAAAAGGTGTTAGTTGGACAAAGTTTTGTTTCTATTAAGTTTGGATTTTTTCCAAACCAGAACTGCAGAACCCATGGAAAGCTTTAACGGGTGGGCCAGACCTGAGATGCCCTGAAGGCAGGCATGTGCATCCCTTTCCTCAGGGAAATAAACTGCCAGAGGCCACTCCTGAGGCTCTGAAATGAAACTGGCTTCCTGCACAGAGAGACATCCTCACCACGTGCCAGGAGCGTGTCTGGCCACCACCTTCTCCTGGGTGAACACATCCCCTGCAGCCCAACCCCGGAGTGGGGAGGGGGAACTGGTTGAATTGCAGGGAACTCAGTGAAGTTACCCACAGGGTCATCAGTGGGGGCTGGGGGACAAGGGTTATAAATAGCAAATTCTATGGAATATAAACCTGTCCTTGTCCTGATGCTGCTGAGCTTCCTTGGAACCTTGGATGGTTCCTGACAAACTGGGTGTTAGACCAGTAGCTCTGCATGGGATACATGGCCTCACCTCCATGAGGCACCGTGAGGCTATTCCAGCAGGAATTCATCATGGAATTCCGGACTAGTGGTAGAATTCATCTAAACCAGCAAAACTGATACTGAATCCCAAATCTTGGCAGCACACAGAGAACAATCGTTGTGCTGCTGTGTCAGTGAAAGCCCCTGGGCTGGGAAATTTGGGCAGCCAAATATATGGAATTCTACACATCACAGCAACCAGCATGACCCAAGGGGATAATCCAAGTCCCAACCAACTTCGTTTGCCTTTCCATAGTGACAGTGACCCTTACTGGGTCCTGTATTCTCACGGTTCATTTTGGAGTACCGGTTTGTGCTGCTTTAGATTCCACAACTCCACCCACAGTGTGCAAACTTGGAGTTGTGCTTCTCTACTTCCAGCAGGTTCCCAGATACTCCCATAATCCTTTTTTTATTACTTTTTAGGTGAATTCTGCACAATCCAGTCCCTCATTCCCTATCCAGGGTGTAAGTGCTCATGTCCTTCGCACAGTTGGCTCTGCGTGGGCAGGAACTGAGAGCAGGAGGCACAGGAGAGCAGATCAGCTCCTCAGGGAACCTCCAGGAGATGAAGCTCCTGGAATATAATTTCCATCAACTAAAAACATTCTTTTCCCGGTAGAAGCCAGGAGCCAAAGCAGATCCCACCTAGCCAGGCTGGTGGGCAGCAGTTGGATCCACTCTGGGGGAAAACTCCCTGTGCCTGCTAGGACCTCTGACTCTGTTTTTCCTACCAGCTCCTGATCAGTGTCAGGGCCACCATGAGGGATTCAAAATCCCAATAAACCCCAAATTTTACAGATGGAATAGTCCAAAGGAAGAAATGCATTGTTGTCATGAAAAGCTTGAAAATCTGTTAAAAAATCTATTACAACAATGTAGTGCGAGTCCCAGGAACCTTATTAATGCTCTTGGTTCCATTTTTATGTATTTTTAGTCCCTCAGCTTGTAGATTTTTTCCTGGGATTTAGAGGTTGAGCAGGGTTTGCTTTGGATTGACCTTTACCTCTGGCCCCAGCTGGTGCAAACACAACTTGGGCCAAGGTGGTTAAACCCTTTTTGTGCACATTTACAGTGGAGACCCAGTGTGGGGAAACACCAACTGCCCGGAGCTGTGACATCCAGAATATGCTAGATAGAACACAGGGAAAAAGCTGGATTCCATGTATGACCCCTCTCCCACCACCATGCTCTGCAGGGAGGAACTGTTTCCCCCCCTGCAGCCCTTTCTTACCATCGCATGGAGGAAGTTTACAAACCCTCACGGACTCGGGCTGTTCCCATCGCTCCAGTCCCCAGCACGCCACAGGACCTACTGGCTTGTAGTCCCCTCCCTGCAGGTCACCCAGCACTGCCAGACACAGAGCAGGCAGCTCAGGACATTCCGTGTCACAGCTCTGTGGCGGGGACAACTCCGACTGCTGGACGGGGACAGGGACCTTCCCCGCCACTCCCTAAAAGCTGGGAAGGGATAACATCATCCTGCCGCTGACAGGAGTTCCTGTTGGCTCTGGGGTTTCTGTCCCATTCGTGGCCACAAGATAATGCCAGAGTCATTCCAACCTTGGGAATAATGGACTGGACACCACCCCTGGAGGCTGTGCAGGGCAGACTACTGCCCAACAACCCCTGCTGCTCTGATTAAATCATGGCTTTCTAAAGTTAAAGGATGGGTGGGGTAAGGGGTGGGACCTGGGCGGGGCAGTGGCTATAAAAGGAGGGGGTGGACCGTAACGCGATCAGGTTTTGGGCTCGGAGGGAGGGATACAGTGCTGCGTTTGGGGGGGCTCGGAACTGAGCCCGAGTCCTGTGATTTTGGGCTCACAAGCAGAGCCCCAGAGCTGCCAGAAACAGCGTCACTTGGTCAATTTTTGGGGCATAGGACACATTGCCATCTTTTATCTTTTGCATTTTTTACCTCAACATCTGCCCCTTTTACCTCAAGATTTCCTCCTCCACTTCCAAACTTACCCTTTTCATCCCAAGATCTGCCCCCAGACCCCTAAAATCTGAATTTTTACCTCAGAATTTCCTCTCACCCCACTCAAAGAAGACGAGCGGGGAATCAAGGGGGTCGGGTGGGATCCCCTGATAAGGGCATTTACAGCCCAAAATTGCTACATGCGCGAGGGATGGTTGGGCCCTGACCAGGCTCTCCAGGGCAGTGGTCACGGCCCCAGGGCTGCCAGAGCCCCAGGAGTGTTTGACAACACTCTCGGGGACAGGGAGGGGTTGTTGGGGTGTCCTGTGCAGCGCCAAGAATTGGACTTGATGGTCCTTGTGGGTCCCTTCCAGCTCAGGATATTCTATGATTCTGTGGGATCTCTCTCTGGACACACTATTTGCTCTGCGTGGCAGGGGATTTTATAGGGAACAAGGATAGAGAACCGCCACTGTAAAACTGGTCTTAAATTCCATCATAATCAGGCACAAAACTGGAAGAGCTCGGAAAGCACTTCCTCTCCCTCAAGTGTACCCGTTACGTGCATGACGTGCACTACGGGCTGGGAGCGCGTATCTCCTACATCCCGCAATAGGCGATGTGTACAGACGGAAAACTGAAGGTTTTGACACAGTTTATGGCACAGGAATTCCGCTCATTTCGCAGAAATATCGGGGTTTACAAACGATTCATCCGAGGGACCCGAAAAACAACGGGCACCACCCTCAGCCCCGTGACCGCGCCCCCAGCATTGGCCACGCCCATTGCCCTGGCCACGCCCACTGCCCTGGCCACGCCCACTGCCCTGGCCCTGCCCACTGCCCTGGCCACGCCCCCGCCCCGCAGTCCCCGCGCACGGAGCGCTGGGCGGAAGTCTCCGGGGGCTGGCGACGGAAGTGACGTCAGCGGGAAGATGCCGGTGGCGGTGGCGGCCGAGGGCACCGAGAGCTTCAGGAGGCTCCTGGAGCAGTGCGAGACTCGGGAGCTGGAGGTGCAGGGGCACGGCGGGGGCGGGGGTGTGAGGTGCGCGTGGCATCCAGAGAGCTTTATCCTTGGGCAGAGTTCGCAGTGCTTCTCTAAACGTGCAGCTCACCCGTCCCGCTGCAGTGATCTGAAGGAAGGGTGAGCTGTGAATTTTGCTCTCTGGGAGCTCTTGCGATGCTGAGTTCGGATCTGGCTGCCTCGGCAAGTGGAGAAGTGGGTGATCCTGTGTGTGATCCCGGGCACCAGCAGAACTTCGGTGCTGGGCACAGAGCTGTGCAGTGGCTCTGTACGTGGTTTGGGCAGCCCGAAGCTTCACTGTAAAATACAGCTGCGTTGATATAAAAAAAATTGCCCAGACCTTTGATGTGATGTGGAAGAAAAAAACCTCAATCGGTTGTCTTGTGGTGTTCAGTTTTCATGACACTTGGCTTCCTGCTCTGTTTCATACCCTGCTGCTCCTAAAACGTGTAACCAAACGGTTTGTGTTTGCTTTTAGGCCCCTGGAGGAATTGCAACCCCCCTTGTTTATGGCCAGCTTCTGGCTCTGTACCTGCTGCACAACGACATGTGAGTGGCTTTAGTCCAGGGGTTTGTCCCCAGCAGCTCGAGCTGCAGTTGCCAGAATGTGAGGAGTTGGTTGTGTGAGTAACAAAATGCCAGTGGGCAGTGCTGTGTCTAAAAGGAAAGAGTGACACTCACAGGATTAAGTCTCTTTGACCCCTTGATCTGACCGGAAAATTACTCTCCTTTGTTTGCTCCTCCCCACCCTTTTGAACTGTAGGGACATTTAAGATTAAAGTTCCTTAAATAGTGAAGTTGGCTGCTTTGGGCAGTGTCAGACATTTCAGTGTTATGGTTTATAGCTGCTCAAGGCTGCATTTGTTTGGAGGTTACAGGCTGCTCCTTGTGTTTAAATTCCAGCAGGATAACTCTGGACTGTCCATGTTAAAAGTGAGGGATGCTGCTGGCTTGAAGGAGCTAAATCTGCAGGAAGCAGGGATCCTGTGAGTTTGATCTGCCGTGGGATTGCCATGTCCCTGTGTGAATTTGATTCACTGCACTTGGGCTCTTAGTGAGAAATTACTGATTATTTATTCAGGCAGAATAAATGTCACTGTCACATTTGATTACCCAGCCCCAAAGGAAGCACTGGTGTGAGGAATTCCGAGATCGGAGTATTTTCCTGGATTGCAGGTGTATATTCTTCCAGGGCAAATTCCCTGAAGACTGATACAGAATATTTGATGCAGATAACCTTGGTTCAGATGAATTGGAGGTTTTACATCTGTGAAGTTTTAGAGTTATGCTTTAATGAAAAGCAGTGAGTCTTGATTTAACGTTTTAAATCTTAGAACTTGTAACCATTTCAGTTTGACTTCTGCGCTCTAGAGATCAATAACTAAATGTTTCAGTATGTCCCAATCCCCAGAATGTGTGTGACCAAGCTGGGCTGGGAAAAACATGCCCAAACCAGTCTCAGTCTTTGGTTGGCAAAGTGGGGTGTGGGCACATGAACAAAGCATTTGGGTACTCTTAATCAATCAAAGAAAAATGAAAGTGCAAACCTAACTGCTGAGAAATGCTGCCTAAATGAAAAACCTCTCCCCAGCTGGTGCTAAATGAGGCTGTTAATGAACTGTTTGCTCTGTTAGGTGAATTGTGTTGTCTGCTGGAGAGCAGCTTTGCTTTTCCTCTTCAGTGTAAAATATTCCTGCCTAGAAGAACAGTTTCAAAACACTGAGACATTCATGGCAGATCTGAACAGACCTTTTGGAGTCTCCTTTCAGCAAGCATTTGGTGCCTGAGAATTATTTTAACTTCCTTTTTTTTTTTATTTCAGGAACAATGCACGGTATCTCTGGAAAAGAATCCCTCCTGCCATCAAATCTGTAAGTGCTTCATCAACTGCCTGTTGGTGCTGTAATAGTTTCATGTAAGCTTGCAGATGGTGAGTTTTGCCCTGAGGAGTCTGTGAATGGCCTCGGGCTCAGTTCTGTGCTGGGAACAGCCCACCCAGTGTGTTGGGCTTCAAGATCTCCTTGTCTGTTCCCTCTTTCCTTCACAGGGAATCTGGTGCAGTAGAGTTCAGTCAATCTGTAGACTTTGTAGTAGGAAATCTCCTGATAAAGGGGATTTACTGGGAAAAACTATTGGGGGTTGCTGGGGAAAAGCAATGGATGCAACTCTGGGATGGGGCACATTCCACAGGTGGGGGCAGAAAACCTTGGGCAGGGCAGAGTGACTTCAGATGAGTTGCATCTCCAACTGGATAAACTTTCTGAAAGCATCTGCTTTCTACTTCATCTGAACCAAAGATATGTTTGGAGGATTCAGATAAATACAGCACCAGAAATGCTTCCAGACTCCTCTGTTGTTAGATTTTTAATTTGAAATCATGCATTTTACAAGAAAACAACTGTTCTCTAGCCTTGTTTAAGAAACCTCATGGTCAAGGGGGGACAGTCAGATAGTTCTGGAATAATTTTCTTTCTCTTTAAAGAGAAAAGTGGAGTCAGTGGTATCTGGACCAAAGATAACTCAGAATCCTGCTGTGTTTGGTGCACAGCAATACTCTGTGAAAACCTCACAGTGGGAATGGGTTTATAGCTATGGTCACTGTAGAGAAGACATTCTTCTGGATTAACACTTGGGAGGGTTTTTTTGTCATAACAGGCAAATGCTGAACTCGGTGCAATTTGGTCAGTGGGACAGAGAATCTGGCAGAGAGACTTCCCGGGAATCTATTCAACAATCAGTGCTCATCAGTGGTCCGAGACCATCCAACCAATCATGGAAGCACTCAGAGGTACAGAATGAACTCGTGTGGGCAGCAGGGAACTGCCCAAAATGATCCCTGTGTGCTCAAGCACAGAGACAAAATAGACAAATACTAATTGTGAAAAATCAGAACTGTTGCCAAAATTTTGTAGGTTTTCCTGAAAGGATTTTAGATATCAGATAAAAATAAAAACCCAATGGCAATAGCTTGTAGCAACAAACTAAATTGTTTTTATTAGGGTTGTGTCTGTAATTGTATATTCTTTCATACTGCAATTTCATAAACCATTTGTTCTGTAACAGCAAAACTGACCATTAGTTACCCAGTTTTATCAGACTTCTAAGCAGTAATTTAGGGAATGTGACTTGGCATTTCAGAACCTTCTGACCCTTATAAAAAGGTTTATCTGTTACCTGGGACTTGGGACATATGTTTTAGAGACTGCAAAACAGGAGCATGCAAATTCCTGCTACCAAAGGGCAGCACAGACTGCTAAGAAACCTTCTGAAGTATTCTGCAGTAACAAATTCACTGCAGCTTTAGAAACAGCTGATTTTTAGATGCCAGTAATGGTTTAATTAATTGTTTTCATGGTGGTTTTTTTTTCTGCTTCTGAACTGTTTGACACGCCAACCTATTGCAAATGGAGAATGCCATCAGATGGAGGGTTCCCTGAATTGGTTTATGTACTGATGGGAGTGCCCAAGATGCTGCATTTAGAGGTTAAATGTGGTCTCTGAGGGGTTTTGTCCTGGCAGAGCAAGTTGTTGTCTCTGGCTGCTGAGTGTAGTACATCAGTGAAGTGTGGGAGGGGAAGGGGAACTTCTGAAGTGCTCACTTTGAGGCTGGTAGTGGTTTTCCAAAGGCATCAGAATTGGGAAAATGTTCTCAGATTTCCTGCCTGTGGAGATGAGTGTCCGTCTGCTCACAGTGTTTCTCTGTCCTCAGATGCCACCAGGAAACGAGCCTTTGCACTGGTTTCTCAGGCTTATACATCAATAGTTGCAGATGATTTTGCAGCTTTTGTTGGACTTCCTGTGGAAGAAGCTGTGAAAGGTACTTGGCATGTATTCCCTGAGTAGTTTTTGTATGGGTGGTTGAGATCAGAGAGCTCTAAGTGATGATTAATAAAAACATGCATACAGCTTCTGACACTGTTATAAAGACAAGTGATGGGGCATAGAAATAATGTCTTCTGGATAATGGTTGTATTTTTTTTAATTATTTGCCACTAGTTATTGTTTATTCTTCCCTTCTATATGTTAAAGCAATTCCATGGTGAGGGAAGAGTGAAACCTGAAGCTAATTCCATGTGCTTTCCTGATGTTATTTGTTGAACTGCATGTCTAAATATAAGTATTTTAATAAGAAATCTGTATTGGAGTTATGGCATACAGGCAGTGACCAGAGATGCTTTTCTACTAGTCTTAACGTGCATCTTTATTTTGCATTTCTAGCGATCATATAAGAAAACTGTTTCTTACAAATGTAAAACTGCCTTTCCAGGTGTGCTGGAGCAGGGCTGGCAGGCAGACTTTGCAACTCGCATGGTGATGCCTAAAAAGCCAGGTAGGTGGAGCTGTTGTTTCATGAAACCTTGTGTTCAGCCTTTTCGAGGAATTAGGTGTTAGTTTTTAATTAAAACTTTACCCAGGATTCTATTAGATATTTTTTTGGAGGCTAATGCTGCTTATGAACATGGGGCAGGTGTAAATGTAAGGAAGTACAAAGTAGTGGTTTTGGTTTGGATTTCTGAGTGGTTTGGATTAAATTGCATCCTCACATGGACTTTTTTAAACACAAGCTGTCAGGATATGCTGTGATTGTCCTGCTCTTCTGCTGCAAGCTGTGACTCAGTGGCACATAAGCTGGGTGACCTCCAATGGCATGTCTTAATCTAAGAAAGATGAGTAAAAAATACACCTTTTTGAACCTGAGAATTCTTTTAGGAGAATTAGAGAATCTTTGGGGCAGGGATTTAGTGAATCCTTGTATTCTGAGGAGCTCCAGCTGTTGGTGTAATTTACTTTGCTTTTAAAATTTATTCTGCTGAATCTTTTCTTCACTGTCGTGGTGTTGATAACAGAATCTCTGTTCCTGCAAAGCTTGGTCTGTAGAAATACTTGGCTTTTTTTTTTTTTTTTTTCCCCCCTCTAAGTTTTATCTGTATCTGGCTGAGGCAAAAATAAATATTAAGCTATGAAAGCAGGATGGAATGACTGGTCTTAAACTGCTCTGTGCAGCTCTGGAAGAAGGAACCAAATTGCAGCATATCTAAAAGGGCCAGATCTCTTAGGCTAAGAAAATACACTGTTTGTAGGGGCAGTTTTTAGGTGTTCAGAGCTCAGAACAGCATAATAGAAAGATGTGCCAGGCAAGGTGTTGAAAATTATCCCTCAGGGCACAAATCCAACCAGAGCCCTGAGCTTTTGTACGTGATCAGGTTTTCTATGAGCTGGTGGCAAACTAGGCAGAGCTTACAAGTACTGGGAACTACTTATATGTGGGGGATTTTTTTTGTTTTCAAAACTGAGTGCAGGAACTACTACTGAGGCAAAAGAAGGAAGTGGGAGACTGTAATCTGTTTTGAAGCAGCTAAACCTTGGGTATTCTGCTTTTTATTTATGAAATAAAGTGTGATAAACAGGTTTGATTTTCATTACCTTTGAACCCAGTTTTGACTGGGTGTATAAAATTATTCCACTGGACTAACTTTCATGTGTTTTTCTTCAGGTGTGCTGGAAGCTTCCTTGAAGAGATTTATTCCTTCATCAGGTATTTTTGTTTACATACAATAATTGTGCATTTAGATGAACACAAGCATGGTCACCAGCACCACCAAGTGGGAATTGAGTTCTAGAGAAGTGAATGTTGTCACTGCCCTCTCAAAAAACCCCAAACAAATCACCCCAATCAGTTGTTGGGTAAACAGGATGATTTATCCCTCTGTCTTCTTTCCCTCACGTTTTAAGTACCTGAGATTGCTGAGATTCCCACTTCCACAGCTGAAGGAGGGGGCAGGTTCCAAAGCAGGGGTAGAACAGCCTCTGTAAAACAAAACGATTTGGGCTAAAACTGCTGCCTTGGAGGCACTTCCTTCACCAAGCAGCTCCGGGCAGGTGTCATTGCTCTGGCAGAATGTGGGACTGCTGAAGTCTTTCTTCCCTGTGGAAACATAGTAATTTTCTGGTTTTCCTCAGAGCTCAGCTGCAGATGGAGGTGGAAGGTACTATGTTTGATTCTCAAAATACTGTTTTCTCTTGTTCCCAAGTCAGTGACAGTAGGTCTGAATGGGTGGCTTCCTGTGTCTAGCAGTTGCTAAAATATCTTGAGTATAGAGATTTAATTCCAGGAGCTGGGGTCTTGCTTTTTTTAAAACATTCACTGGATTGTCAGCCTCCTCTGTCACGCACTTGCAGCCCTAAGCAATGTGGATGCTTTCACTGTGTTCTGAATGCTGGCCTGATAACTCTTCGGGAAGAGTAAATGCAAATTTTCCTGCTATTGTTTTTTATATCTGCTTTTTAATTCCTAATTTATGTCCCTGGCTTTAGTCACCTGCCTTCCAACCTGTTGTTAACCTGAGATCTTGGGTCAGCTGGCATTTACCTACGGATCAGCCCATGCAGTCCTGTGTGTTTTGTTTGTCAGATCCCCCAGTAGATTGGTTTGGTGTCTTCAGAGGGGCAGCTTGTAAGGAAAGGAGCCCCCAAAGAGTGCCAGGAGCATTTTTGGCAGGTGAAAGTACTGTCAGGCTTCGTTATTCACTCTCCATTATGTGCAAAAAAATTCTGGAGGCTGCTGACAGATGAGACTTGTTGCAGCAGTTTGGTAGCTCTTGGACTACTGATGTTACAGATAACAGCAAACTCCTGTCAGAGCTGTGCAGGTAGGAGATACAGTTAAGGTGTGCCCCCAGGAAGCTGTTGAATAGTCTGATGCATTTAATTTTTTCCTTACTGTTATGATGGATGGTGTTGCTAATGGATTTGCTTCTTAAATTTCATGAATGATGCATTTGTTTTCTCTTTTTAGAATCTGCTGCGGTCCCACCAATTCCCAATGAACAGCAGCTGGCCAGATTGACTGACTACGTGGCCTTCCTTGAAAACTGATTACCTTGCTCCTGTGTTCAGAACAGCCTGGGAATCCTGTGTGCTGCGAGCTTTAGCAATCTCAGATTTATTTTATTCTATATCTGTTAGACATTGCAGTGTCCCCTACTCAAATGTGTGAAGTCTCTAGTGTATGTTGGCCCAGCTCCTGTTTTGCCAAAGCCCAGCTAGCAGTAGAAAGACTCCTTTAACTCCTGCAATATTTGTTCAGTGGGTACGCAGCAGTATTACACAGTAAATTTTTGTGATAACCGATAGCAGCGAGAGACAGAACCTTTTTCAGGTATGTTAGAAATGGAGAAGAAACAACTCTGGTGAGTAGTGCAGTGCTTAGCACAGAGCTATTGCATGTTGAACTAAAGGACAAAGAGTGGAAGACTGCCCACCCTATCTGCAGAGAGAAATGATATTGAATATTGAATACTTTTTAATATTACTGAATGAAAACAAATTTACAGTAACTCTCTGGTAAGTAGTTTTGTGGCCTATTTGTCGTTGATTTTTTTTCTTGTGCTCTCTGGGTTGTGAAATCTTTGATGTGAGAAATTTCACATCAGGTGTATTTTTACAGCAGAATAATTGGAATTGTTCAAGAAAGGCAAATCTACACTTTGAGGAAGAATTTTGACTTTTGGAAGGTTTTATTTGAGTGTCAGAGGACATCATATGTTTTGCTATGTAACTCTGCACCTTGAGGTCTGTCATGTCTTGATTCTTCTCAGCACGCTGGGCCAGGATCTACAGAAAATAACCCTTAGCTGTCTGTAAGCTTTCTGCGTTACCTCTGCAGTTACTGGAGAGGAATTTAAAGGTTAAGTGGAATCAGAGAGCAGCTGGGAGGGGATGGTATGTTGTCCTGCAGTGTCAGTTTGAGGAACATTCTCTGTGTCAGAGCAGTGCTGTGTTAATCTTGGAGCTAAGAGTGGATTTTAGAAGCAAACGTAACTTTCATTCCCATTTGTGTTATGATGGTCAAAAGGCTTTGGAAAAAGAGTGGTGCTTTAAAAGGCAGCATATGCCTTTATTTACTTCTCCCCCGTTTCCTGTTCAGGGGTTTCATGGAAGCTGGCATGTGTGCCCTCTGTTGTGATTGTTTCCTCAGTGGGCACTGCCCACTGTACATTCTCTTGGTGGGGGTGTGTTAGCAGGGGGAATTGTAAACTCTGTTCTGCTGCCTTGAGAGCTCCCTTTATATGGAAACACTTTCTCAAAATAATTATTTATTTGAAACCCACTCAAGACTTGGATTTCTAAATTTATTGGGAGTGATACTGAAGAATATCTTTACTCTGACCTTGTGTACCTGATTTTTTAAGTTCTCCTTAGAGTACTGTTCGGGTTTGGTGAGTTTTTAAATTAATTCTCACTGGTCTAATTTGGATGGCAATAGCCAGTATAGAAATATCATTGGCTGTGCCATGATGGGGATGGTCACCTCCAAAAGAGCGACATGGACAAGGCAGAGGTGTTTAACCCTTTCTTTGCCTCTGTCTTCAACACGGATGACGGACCAAAATGGGAAGGGGGGTGGAAGGGGAGTCCCCAATAACATCCTCCCGCCCAATTTTGGGGGTCCAGGGTGTATTACCCCTCCCTTTTTGCGCCCCCTCTCACCGGGCGTGGAGGGCGTGGCTGCCTCACACAGGCTTTAAGGAAGATAATAAAAAAAATTAAAACAAAAGTAAATACGACATCGGCTGAGGGGGAGGAGCGTGACTGCAGTGCCGCTCAGGGTCATGTCTGCCAGGACCGCCTGCGGCGCCGGGGTGGGGATTCGAACCTGTGGTCCTGAAGAACGACGCCTGAACCGCTCGGCCCCCGGGCACGGCAGGTGGGGCTGCCGGGCGGGGGGTCGTGCCCGCCTTACACGGGTTTTGAAGAGAATAATAACAATTTAAAAATTAAATTAAAAAATATACCAAAAATACATTTTAAAAGAAAATTAAGTAAAATAAAAAAGCTAACTCCCAGGACGTATGCCAAGGCTGCCGGGCTCTGCCGGGAGCGACCCCGGCGGGAGGAGGGCGGGCGGCGGCCCGAGCTGGGCTGTGCTGGGGGGGCTGTGGGGCCGCTCCGGCCGCAGGGCTGGGCAGACGCGGGGCAGGGCTGGGGACTGTGCTGGCCCAGCCCGCTGCGGGGCTGTCCCTCTCAGTTCCCGTGCAGAGCATAAGTGTCCGTGCCCGGCTGGCGGGTGCCCTGCAGAGAGAAGAGCCCGGCCCTGGGAGGCTCAGCGTTGCTGTGACCCGCGGTCCGTGTCACCTGCCCTCGGCACAGTCCCCACAGCTCCCTTCGCCAGGAGCATCCAGATGAAGGGTCCGGGAGGTTGCAGCTTCTCTTTTGCAGGAAGTAAGGAAGAGGTTGGGGGTGCAGGAGGGGTGTTTTCCAGGCAGGGAGGCAGAGGGAGCAGGGAGGAGCACAGCTCCCAGCAGCTCTGTCAGTGCTGGACCGACTCAGGACTGAGAAAGGTCACTCGGGGTCAGGGCTGGGAAGAGACTGGGATGGCCCTGGGAACCCTGGGGCCCTTGGCTGCAAAGATGTGCTCCTACAGCCCCAGACTGAGGAGGCTAAAAAGGACCTTCTGTTTTTCATGGAAACCCTCCTGTTATTCCTTGTGCAGTCTTGGAATTCTGTTGAGTGATTTCCTGTCCAGTATCTCTCTAATAAAACCAGTAAGAAATTTAGACGGAGGATTCAAATTTGGGTCAGTTCCCTACAAACTTCTGCAAAGCCTGAGGGACTGGGGTGACGACTGCTCTCAGGAAAGGTGATTTATTAATATTCTCTCGCATTTTCCTCAGCCCTGGGCAGGAAAGCCAAGGGTTAGGGTCAGGAACTCTGCAAGCAAGGCCTGTGTGCCTGTGGATTTCTCAGACGTGTGGCAGAGTTGGGACAAGGACTTGTGCAGGGACCAAGCTGGGACTGGAGGTGTTGCTGTTCTGAGCCATTTCCAAGGTGTGATTAGAAGAGAACAATGTCCAGAGATGCTGAGCTGGGCAGGAATAAACATGGAGCTGCAGGGATTTGGGTGCTGCTGGGGACGTGTCACCTTCCAGTTGAGCATCCATGCCCAGCATCCCCCCTCTGGAGGTGGTTCTGGCTCTGGGTGGGCTGGGAGGGCAGCATGATCCATGGGGATGGAGCAAAGCACCCCCAGGGCCATCCCCCAGCTGTGGTGCCAAGTATCCCGAGTGCTTTTCTGGGGATGGAGTGAGGAGAGGAGCATTGAGCTCCCTCCATCCCTCCGGATGCTTTCCCACAGCCCAGAGCCTCCTGGCTCACATGGAGCTCACATGATTCCCTTTAAGAAGGGAGGCAATGGAATGTTAGGTTTTTTCCCCCTGTATTTTGAGGTAGTGCTCTGAATTACTTTATTTCTGTCTTGCTTCCAGTGGTGTATTCCCTAGCAGTCCCACAGCAGCTCTTGGGCAGTGCAGCTGCCATAGGTCCCTCCGGACTGGGGAACAGGCAAAAACCCCAAGGCAAAGGACAACCCAGATTTTGGAAATGGAAAATTTAATGGTATCAGTCTGAGCTGTGCCAGTTCATTGAATGCCAAAGGAAAATCCAGGACTCCTCTAGTGGGAGTGTTTGGGAGTGTTTTTCTCAGAGGTATGTAAACACAGGCACAAGGTTTTAGCAGAAAGAGAGTTCCTGAGATTTGGGGTGTTTTTTCCAGTTCCCTCTGTAAGTTTTCCCTCTCTCAGTCCCACTGGCCAAGCAGGAGGAGCAGCAGTGGCGTGAGGGCCAGAGCTCTTGGGTGGGTCTGGGAGCCCAGGTTGCCATCCCAGTGCAGCCTGACCTGCAGCCTCCCAGGGGCGTGTCCCTGCAGCAGCACCTGGGGAAGGGAGGAGACATCTTCTGGCACTGCTGGAGCCTGAGCAGGAGATGAGGCCTTATCCTCGGGGACATTCCCTGTGCCATGGGGTAGCCAGATGGGAGCTGGGGGGGACTCCAGCCCTTTGGGGGGGTTGCCCTCCCCTCCCTTGGTTTGTCCCCCTTTTTTCAGTTGGGATGTCCTTGTGTCAAGGGCTTTCTGGAAGCACCGAGCTGCTGATCAGGGCAGCTGGACTCATTTTGTGCCTTCTCTGGGGGTGGGGGAGTTGGGGGGGTGATGATGTCATTAGGGGCACCCCAGTGTCACTGGGAGAGCCATGGTGGGCTGGGGTGAGGTGAGGGGTGTCATGCGGGATCTCCCCAAAAATGGAGGTGACAATACCCAAAATGCCTGAAAATTTATGGGGGAGGTGTGTGTAAAATCCTGGAAATGGTAAACTTTCTCATCATTGCAGGTATTGAGAAATAATAGTAGGTGCTGTAAAGATTGGTTCCAAAATAAACCCTCCTATCTGCTGTATTATAGACAGGATTTTAGACTGTAATCAAGTCTGAATACAGATTCAAGTCTGAATACCAGCACCCTGGGGGTGCTGGTCGACAGAGGCTGAACCTGAGCCAGCCGGTGCCCAGGTGGGCAAGAAGGCCAACAGCACCCTGGCCTGCATCAGAAATAGTGGGGCCAGCAGGATCAGGGCAGTGATTCTTCCACTGGAGTGGGCACTGGTGAGGCCACACCTGGAGTGCTGTGTCCAGCTCTGGGTCCTCAATTCAGGAAGAACATTGAGGGGCTGGTGTGGGTCGAGAGCAGGGCAGTGGAGCTGGGCAAGGGTCTGGAGTGCATGTCCTGTGAGGAGCAGCTGAGGGAGCTGGGGTTCTCCAACCTGGAGGAGGCCCAGGGCTGACCTTCTCACTGTCCACAACTTCCTGACAGGAGGGTGGAGCCAGGTGGGGCTCAACCTCTTCTGTGAGGCAACAGGCGATAGGACAAGAGGACATGAGGACCTGCCTGTCTGGGGATGTTTGTCAGGGACAGGAGCAGAAATTTTTGGGTAGAAACAGGGATTAGGTATTGACATGGGATGTCCAGGGAGGTGGTGGAGTCACCATCCCTGGAGGTATTTAAGGGAAGAGTGGACATGGCACTTAGTGCCGTGTTCTGCTTGACGTGCTAGGGATGGATCGTAGGCTGGATGCCGGTTGATCTCACAAATCTCTGCCAACCTCATGGATTCTAGGCTTCTGTGCCATTCCAGCCTTTGGGACAGCGTGCTGGTGGCTCAGAGGCTCCATCCTTGCATTGCCTTGCCCATTTCCTGGCTGCCAGGCAAGGGCCTTGTGACATCACAGCCTTTGTGGAACAGCACAGTGGCTGAAAACTGTCAGCCCTCTGCCCCTGTGTACAGGGCCTGGGCAGAAGTCTGCTGGGAGGGAGGCCAGAGACTGTGCAGAGGTGTCAGCTCATCTCACAGCAGGAGGATGCCCAGCCAGGGAATCTCCTGGCTCCTCAGGCTCTCTGTGCTCCTGCTCTTGCCTGGCAGACTCGAGCCTTGCAGCCGTCCCACTGGTGCCATTGCTGATAACTGGGGTTTTCCTTGGATGGAGCCTTGCCATAAAAGGCAGGAGCAGCTGGAGAGAGGGCAAGGAGGGGTGTCAGGCTGGTGGGATGGTGCCTGTGGGCTGTGAGCCCGGAGCCGGCAAAGCCTTGGGCCAACAGGATGTCAGTTGACCCACAGGGAGGAGGAAAGCTGGGCAGGCCCCAAGGCTCCTGGGCCTCTCCCTTGCCAGCCCTTTTTTCAAGACCCTGAGGCAGAGTTGGGCTCAGCCCCTGCGCAGGAATCGAGCACGGGCTGAGCCCCAGGGACACCAGACACAGGCGACCTGAGCTCTTTTTCCTGCAACGTCTGCCTGGGGCAGCCCAGCCAGGCCTGAGTCTCTCCAGGAGAGGCCAAGCCCAACCAGACAGGGCTCAGCCCTCTGAGGTTGCCCTCAGTCCAAAGAGAACAAAACAGTAACCTAGAGGACATCCTGCCCCCAAATGGAGAACTGGAAATGTAAAGAATAAAAAAGTCACCCCCTCCATTCCTCCTCTTTACTAAAAGCATCCAGGACTCGGGTCACTCAATTCTCTCTCTGACAAGGGTTTGCAGGGGCTGCTTGGGAAAGGGAACCCCTGGGGCCCCATTGCAGAGGGTGGGGCTGCACTCTGTTGGTGTCGGCCTTTGGCTCTTGGGTTCCAGGGGCAATTGGAGCCAGTGAGCCAGGCTGGGGACGAGGGGCAGGACTGGCTGAGATTGGCTCTGGTGCCTGGCGCATAAAATGGAAGTGTCTCCATGGGGGCAGCTCTGAAGGGCCCACAAAGTAAATGCTGCCCCAGTGCAGCCTGTGGCAGTGGTGAGT